ACAGGTTAGGCCACCTGGAGGCCAGACACCAAGTGCCTTGGGGCCCAAGGTGGAAGGAGGGGCACGTCTTAGGACACCGCCCCCCCCATACACATGCACACACACACACACACACACACACACACACACACACACACACACACAGAGGCCCTGTGGCTGCAAGCCTGGGGCAAGGGTTAACCAGGTCCCTTAAGGAGTGGGGGGGCTTGAAGGAGGGGCTTCAGGTTCTCTTTCCGCACAGCAAGCTGCCCTGCCCCTTCCAGGAGATGGAAGCCCCCAGTGAAGGCAGCCCCAGCCTGCCCTCTGCAGGCCCAGCGCAAGCCCCTTCTGGGGGGACAGTCATGGCCCAGTGCTTCTGAGCCCATTGGCGCCCTGATGCTACTCAAGCAAGGGGCCAGACAGGCTGCCCAGATGTGCCCCTCCCAGGCTCGGCACCCGGTGGGCACAGGGGCAGCCTGGAGCGAGGCTGCTGCACACCGGCCCAGGGGACTTGTGATGCAATCAGTCAAGCAGGAGATGAGGGGACCAGAGGGGAGCACAATCTCGCTTCAGCTCCCTCAAGAGTCGTGGCCAGCTCCACAGAAGGGTCTAGAGTGTCACCTCGCTCACCTGCTGCCCTGGCCTGGCCCTCAGCTGGCCTCCCTGCTGCCCCCACTGCCGCCCCTTCCAGACTAACAACAGCTCTGGCCAGCCCGTGACCCGGCGCTCCGAGCAGCAGCGGCTCCATCCTCTACAAGCATGGCCTCTCTAGAGCGGGGTCCAATCCAGGGCACCAGCAGAGAGCAGAGAACTGGACAGCAGGCATGCAGAACTGCAGGCCAGGTGAGCAAGGCTGCCCAGGGAGGGCAGAGGCAGGGGGAGCATGGAGGGCTGCGCCAGAGGCAGGAGGCGGGGGCCCAGGGGCAGCAGCCGAGGGGCCGAGGCCGAGGTGATCGGCAGAGCGGGAGGGCAGCGGGCTTCTCGCTCAACGGCTGGTTACCTGCAGCTGGACAGGAGGCTCCTGGGGCTGGAGGAGGTGGAAGAGCAGGCTGGAAGGCCGCCTCACAGGAGAAGCTAATGTCCAGTTCCCAGGCTGGTCAGTGCCTCAGCTTTTATGTCTGAGCGGGCTCCTCCCAGCCCCGGCTCCACCCCCCACCCCTCTCGCTGCTGACCACTCCCTCCGCCCCTTTGCTCCCGCCCCCTTCCAGCCAGTCCCTTCTTTCCTGCACCCCCAACCACTAGCCCAGGACCATTCCTTAGCAGAGCGCCATGGGGGCGGGGGGCGCTCATCCCGCACCTCCAGCCCAAGTCCGCGCAGGGCAATGGGGGGCAAGGACGGGGGGGGGGGCGTTTTTTCCTCCTTCTGTGGAAACTTCCATCTGCCCCCGGGGGGCAGGGGCAGTTCCCCTCTCTGGTCTGTGCGGTGCAGTCCTGCCCTTCTGAGCCCCGGAGCAACCCCTCTCCCCAGATGCCTGCTTCGAATTGTTGGGGACAGAGAAAGGGGAGCTGCGGGGTGGGGATATTGCAAATGTGGCGCCTGGCACGGCTCTTTTGCCAACTCGGCCCCCCTGGCTCCGTCCTGGCCCCGCCCACCTAGTCTTCCTCTCCCCCCCTCGCTGGCACGGAGTCAACATACCAGGGTGGGTTTCTGAGACTCGCGCCCCTCCTCGTTACCCAGCACCCTGGGGGGACGGCCCCGCCCCCCCGCACGGCACAAATCACGAACTTTTAGCAACACCGCCCCCCCCCTCACCCCCCGCACCCAAAAACCCGACCAGGAAGTCGCCTTTGCAGACCGCTCACACCTCTCTTGGCATTTCCCGAAGCCCCTACCCCGCCCCCTCCGCGGCGCCGGGGAAAGCGCGGGGTGCGCTACGGGGAACCGGCCCCGCAGCCCCGACCCCGAGCGGGCCGGCCCCCGCCCGCCCGCCGCCCGCCCGCGCTCACGACGCTTACCTGGAAGCCGGCGCAGCTGCCGCCCACCTCCCTGCTGCGTATTGCAAACCGAACAGCGGGCGTTGGCCCTCCTGCCGGACACTCCTCTGCCAGCGCCGCTCTGGCCGAGTCGCGGGGGCCGAATGTGCGACGGGGCAGAACGGGGGGATGGCTTTTTTTTGGGGGGGTGGGAATCGTCTGATCGTTTGGGGGAGGACGGGCTGTCTGCGGGCTGGGGCGGGCCAGATGTTGTACTTTTAGGGGGGGAAAGGGTATCGGGAAATGAGGTCAGCTGTTGTATCGAGGATAGAAGGGGGGCAGAGATAGCGAGAGACACAGAGTGAACGTGAAACGGGGGGGGCCGGAGAGAGGGCGAGAGCGAGAGGGGACAGCGAGAGGCGGGCAGGCTCACAGCGGGGGAGAACAGCGCGGAGAGAAACAGAAAGCGTATAATTAATCCACTTCGGGACGGTGGGGAGGGG